TAAAGCAGTTCTTTCTAGAATCATAGTTTATAAATTAAAATTATATTTTGTCCCTCTTATTATTTTCTCTATTCCTCCCCATCTCAATACTGAATAAAAAATAAATTGAATAATTCCCTCAGTGTCAAGATCTTAACAAGATATTAGTATAAATCAAATATATACTCAAAATAGTTTAATGACTAACACTACTCTCTCTTTTACCTGGGTTAAAAGCTAATTCTCCCAAGGAGTATTGCTTTTTCACATCTAAAGAAAAAAATTCACAAAATGCTGGGAATCTCAAAGAGTTTGTGAGAAGGGTTTTGAGGTAAGTGTAAGTGGGTCTAGGCTGTACCTAGGTGTATAATCTTTTCTTGTGCGTGGGGGAGACAGAGTCCTACAGGAAGAAAGGAGGGAATACGCTTTGAATATACAGTATATACACTAAAATATACTTTGAATATACTTCCTCCTCTTTCTGGACTTTCATTTGCTCTTAAAAGAATCATCTCTGGTCTGCTTCCCTATCAATCACTTGAAGCTCACTCCTTGAAGTCTTAGGCCTGGATGTCCCTGGTCAGAACTTTGGAAGTTCTGACTTTTTTACAATTCAATGTGGCTATCATACACATCTGAAAGTTAACATGCTTAACCATAGAACTAATACCTCTCTGACATTCCTCATGAGTAAATATTACCACTACATGCCATTACCCAGCTGAAGACCACTTTTGACTCCTGATTTTCCCTTAACCCTCAAAATTCAGTTCAGAAGCAAATCCTGTCTCTTTCACCTACAAATATATTTTCTCTAAAAAAAAAAAAAAAGAAAGAAATCTACATCCTTCTAACTCCACCTGTGATGCTTCATCTCTGCAGCTACCAACCTAGCAGATCATCCTCGGCTCTGAAGTATCATTTTCATGGTAGCACCTTTGCTTCCATTTTTACCTCTTCTATCTGATCTTCACATAGAAATGGGAGTGATCACTCCTATCAATAAAATCCCTCCAAAATCCATCCAAAATAAGCTTTATGTTTACCAAGTTTTATAAAACCCTCCATGACATGACTCTGTGATCACCACCATTTTTCCTCATTCATTCTACTCCAAATAAATAATGTTAGGAAGTATTCCTAAAGTTTTCTAACTTTGAAAAATTGCTGGCAGTAGGATGCATTGTCACCCTCTTCTCACCTAATGCAATCACTGCAGAAATGCCAGATTGCTCCAAGCTCCAAGAAATGAATCACAGGCATATTCTTGCTTTGGGCTATTATACTCCTGATTTATGACACTGTTGAGGAAATTTCCTGTGCAACAGGAAATTTCAGAGAGGAATATCAGGTCTATAGTTCACGAGGTGCTGGCTCAAGTACATTCTCAGATATTTTCTACTTTGAGTTTTATTTGACATATTTCCAAGTTCCTTCTTATCTACAGGAGATGTACGGGCACAGAGCCTGACAAAACACTTGGCGATGATCATAAATTAGTGATTTATCGTTTCTTCCTCCCATGTCTGATAATCCCCTATTGTTTTCCTGAATTCAATTTTGTTTTCCTCCTTCCTAGATTTCATCAGTAGAATGGTGGATGTTCCCATTGCAAGATTTTCAGGCATCTGAGAGTTCTTTTGTGAGAGTGAGAATAGCAGAGTGAGGGGCATGGTTTCACACTTCTATTCCTAAATCCAGTGTGAGCCCTTGCCCTTTGCCTTTCCAAATTACAATATCAGGAGCGCATTTTTTTCAAGAGACATTCTACCCTTTTGAATGATTTCATTCAATAGGAAAATTTTTGTTTATTCTCAGACTTCAGCATATGCCATCCTGAATTCTAATGTACATAATTGCTGCACATAACCTGTGCCTTAAATATCACAAAGGCTAAGATAATTACTAACTCTTAAGATATCTGTTTGCTAATCAATTCTTTTTTATGGGTCAAAAATAAATCTGCTATCATACTTCCAGTGTCTCTATGATCTGAGGGATAGACTTTGTATACATCTATGTATGTAATATCATGGGATCACAAAGAGTCGGACATGACTGAGCGACTGAAATGAACTGAACTGAACTGATGTATATAATGTAATTGACTTCATACTTGAAAATTTGTTCCTTCCCTGAGATCATGATGAAATTAATGCCTTTAAAAAAGGCATTAGAATGAAGTCATCTCAGACCTTTCTTCCTTAAAAAAAAAACAAAAACAAAAAACCTCAGGTCTCCATTCTGGTTTTTTTTTAATTTATTACTTTCTTTATTTCTGCTTCATCCACCCACCCCTTCATGTTCTTCTAATTCTACCTTAATCTCTTTATCCAGGTGTGTTTATGCTATGCCTCATAGAATCTGTAGTTTCCTTAAACAGATAAGTACCCCCACTTTCTGGATGAAAACTTATGGAGTGAATGAGCTTTCATTTCTGTTTAGTTCAGTGAGGAAAATCAATGAGTAAACTGGTAACTTCATTTACAAATTGACTATGGAACTTCAACTATTACTCAGAGCCCCTGAGATATTTATACGTGTATAAATAAGCACCTAATCTTATAAGAAAGCTGAGCGCCAAAAAATTGATGCTTTTGAACTGTGGTGTTGGAGAAGACTCTTGAGAGTCCCTTGGGCTGCAAGGAGATCCAACCAGTCCATCCTAAAGGAGATCAGTCCTGGGTGTTCATTGGAAGGACTGATGCTGAAGCTGAAACTCCAACACTTTGGCCACCTCATGTGAAGAACTGACCCACTGGAAAAGACCCTGATGCTGGGAGGGATTGGGGGCAGGAGGAGAAGGGGACAACAGAGGATGAGATGGCTGGATGGCATCACCAACTCGATGGACATGAGTTTGAGTAAACTCCAGAAGTTGGTGATGGACAGGGAGGCCTGGCATGCTGCGATTCATGGGGTAGCAAAGAGTCGGACATGACTGAGCAACTGAACTGCGCTGAACTGAACTGAATCTTATAAGCAGATTTATAGTTTTCACTTGGAGAATATTTTATAAAACACTAGTTGATATGGATCATTTTGAAAATACAATTATATGTTAATAAAAGTAAACCTTATTTTGAAAGACAATTATAGGTTAATAAAAGTAAACCTTATTTTGAAAGACAACCATTCAATCTTAGCAAGGCAGAGTGAGCACTGCTAGTGATTAATTCTTTTAATAGTAAGTAACATTTTTAATGACAAAATATTCTGCCATCAACTTTTATTTATTTATACATTTAACTGGATAAATTAGTCAGAGGTGCAATCCATAGTAAGGGGTGAAGGAAGCCACGACAGCAGACTTATCATTTACTTGGCGTGGTGGGAAGACAGCGTCAATACACAAGAAGAGTTACTATGATTTTATTACATTCATGTACATCACTGTCATGAAAAGAAAGTGGGACTTGCTGGAGGCCAGACAGGATTACTTAATTTAGATAGTAGAAATTTCTTTCTTAGGAAGCATTTAGGAAAAGAAAATAATTTTCTGTTGCTATGTTGCTAAATGGATAAAAAGGACTTCTATGTTTTATTTCACCACATCTTTAAAATAAAACAGTACTGGATCTTTTACAAACCTCATACAGGAATAGTTTTAATTCTGGCAGCCCAGCACAGACTGAAATATTATGTAAGTATTAGATAGGTTTTTCTTTTTATTGACCTATGGCTGCTGAAAAGCCAAAGTAAACACACGTACAAAAAAGTAAACACTAAAAAAAAAGTAAACACTGTATTTGGCCCAGGGTGTATGACTACTGGCATTTTCATACAATACTGTGACAGTATAATTGCTATAAATTTTTCTCAAGGAAAATTTGCCAATACAGATCAATGCATACAACTATCAATGCAACAATTCCAGTTCTAAGAATTAATACTAAGAAAATAATACAAAATGCATGTAGAGTTCTATATTCATGTATATATATGTGTGTACATACTTGCACATATATATTCATGTATATAACAATCATTATACAAAGGTTCATTATTGTATTAGTCCTAATAGTGCATAGATTATTATGACACATCTGTACAATGGAGTCATATACTGCCCTTTAGTTACTCTATAGATTTAACTTACGTGCAAGTTTGATATACTTCTAAGTATTTAAAAATCTATAGACAATGAATTCTGTAGAGCATAAGAGTATTATTGATGCTTAAATAATTGGTGGTCATAACAAACTATGGATAAGAGATATCATTGGTAGAATTTTTTCCTTCACCTATGTCTCTGTTTTATGTTTCTTCTGCCTCAATTATATATTACTTTAAAACTGGTGATGAATACAGATCTTCCTCAGTTTATGATGGGGTTACATCCAGATAAACCCACTGTAGGTTGAAAATGACCTTAAGCTGAAAAAGCATTTAATAAACCTAACCTATGAATATCACAGCTTAAGCCAGCCTACCTGAAACATGATCAGAACACTTAGTGGGCAAAATGATCTAACCCAAAGCCTGTGTGCTCAGACGCTCAGTTGTGTCTGACTCTTCGCGGCCCCATGTACTGTAACCCACCAGGCTCCTCTGTCCTTGGGATTCTCCAGGCAAGAATACTGGAATGAGTTGCCATTTCCTCCTACATGGGATCTTCCCAACATTTTATAATAAAGTATTGACTATTTCATGTAATTTATTGAATACTGTACTGTCAGTAAAAAATAGAATGGCTGTCTGGGTACAGAAGCGTTGTGAGTGTATCCACTGTTTACCTTCCCTGATCACATGACTGATGGGTGCTGTAGATGCCACTACCCAGCATCCTGAGAGCAGATACCATGCATCACTGGCCCAGGAAAAGATAAAAATTCAAGGCTGGAGGTGTGGTTTCTGCTGAATGCATGTCACTGTCACACCATACAAAAGTCCAAAAAATTTAAGTCGAACTGTCACAAATCAGAGACCAATTGTAAATACACTGAAAAAGATCTGGCAAAAATAATGATACGTATACAAATGAGTGCACATATGTGTGTCTGCCCTTTCAGGGCACTCACCTTTGGTAAGGAAGCCCGTGATCCTGAACTCTGTGTGGTCATGGTCAGCACAGTGGTTATTCCCAAGGCTACCCGGGCTGGGGCAGCATCCATGTTGATCCAGAAGGAAACCCAGGAGAGAATGACAATCAGGAGGCTTGGAATGTACATCTGGATCAGATAGTAGCCCATTTGCCGTTCAAGATGGAATCGCACTTCTATACATGTAAACTTTCCTAATTGGTTGCAAAATAAATGCAGCAATTGGTAAAACCAGGTCTTCACTATTGCATCAAAGGTCACAATGCTGCTTTCATAACAATTTTGCCCTAAACATTATAATGTTATAATGAAATGGGATCCTAAGTCATATATGCAAATTGGTTTCTGAAAAATATTTTTTTTATTTGTATGTTGGCATCTAGAAGCAATGTAATAGAAAAGTGTGCTATTTCAGGAAATAATATATAAAATTATTATTTCACACTTTATTAGCACTTCATAGTTGTCTAGGTACTAAAAGGTCTATTATTTCATGTGATTCATGTCTGCTTTTGTACGTCCTTTCAAACACTGTACCTTGAGGTTCTAGCCAGGATAATTAGGCAAAAAAATAAAAGGCATTTATATTGAAAAGTAAGTAGCAAAACTATCTCTGTAAGTAGAAGCCATTAACTTTGTATTTAGAAAATCCTAAAAAACTCATTAAAAATTTTTTTGAGCTGAAAAGTTCAGCAAGGTTACAAAATACACTACCAGTATAGAAAAAGCAATTGTGTTTGTGTAGGCTAGCAATGAACCATCCAAAAATTAAATTGAGAAAACAATTCCATCTGTATAAGAACCAAATAAAATATTTAGAAATAAAGTTAACAAAAAGTACAAAACACACAATAAAAAAATAACAAAAGTTGAATAAAATTTAAAAAGATCATAAAAAAGGTCATTGTGTAACCATTAATCAGAAAATTTATATGGTTAAAATTGTGATATTTCCCATCTTGATTTACAAATTTATTGCAATTTCTATCAAAATCCCACCTGGTTTTTATGTAGAAATTGACAGGTTGATCTTAAAATCAGTGTGAAAATGCAAGGGACCTACAATAGCCAAAATAGCCTTGAGGGGAAAAAAACAAATTTGGTGAACTCACATTTTGTAATTTCAAGACATACTGCAAATTTACAATAATAACAAAGTGTGGCACTGTTATCAGTAAAGATATACAGATCAATGGAATAGAATTGAAAGTCAAGAACTGATCATTTATGGTCAATCGATTTCTAAAAAAGGATTAAGACTGTTCAGTAGGGAAAAAAATGATCTCTTTAATAAATGGTACAGGGCTTCACTGGTGGCTCAATGGATAAAAATCCACCTGCCAATGAAGCAGACAGGGGTTCGATCCCCAATCCTGGAAGATCCCACATGCTGTGGAGCAACTAAGCCCACACAGCACAGCCAAATATAAATAAGTAAAATTATGTTTTCAAAAAAGAAACTAAAGTAAAATAAAAATAAACGGTACAGGGAGAACTTTGCTTTTTGGAACTTTCTGGAATTTTTTTCCCAAATATTTTCATTCCCCAATTGGCTGAATCTTTGGATATGAGACTGTGGATATGGAAGACTGACAGTACAATGAAAGTCATGTCACATTTCTCGAAGTGTTGAGCCCAAAAGAAATCATAGGTACTCTAAGGATGTTAGTGGAAGGGCATTTACTCACCACATGGGAGCAATATTTCAACTGTGGGCAGATTAAGGGAACTTATAAGAGTAGGCTAGGAGTTAGAATAGATATTACAGGAATATCCCATGCCAACTGAGAAACGTGAACAGGTAATATGAATGTACAAGTTTTGCAGTCCTTGATGTTAATAACTGCATCTGATATTTATCCTCAAAGGTAACAGGCTACTGCATCAGTGTGAGTGGTAAGTGCTTAGTAAGTTTCTTGATATGCATGACATTGTGGCCAAAATAAAAAATTAGGCAAGAGAAGCCTTAAAAAAAACATATCCTTCATTTTGTTAGCAAACATAATGTTTATGACATAGGGAAAGTTAAAAAGTACATTTTACTGCTCACATAGAAATTAAAGGAACTGTTTTGAAAAGAGCATTATTATTTTAATTATATGTGTTTAAAAAAGAGAAATTATTTAAATATAACTGAATTCCAAGCATTTCTTTTGTTTCATACAAACCAATTATATAGCAACACGCAATGAGTCAAAACTTCTGTAAATTTTAAAGATGTCTATTCTCTGCTTAATGACTATAAAAAACATTCAGCTATAAATTGCTGAAATAATTAGCCTGCACTATAAGAAGCATCTGGATAGCATATAACTACAAGTCATAAGTGTAATAAAGAACACTCAACCCCTACCTGTGTTGTAATGTTTAGTGCAGTATCGTAAATCTTTCTCTTCTTTCAACAGAAACTGGGGTAAAGTGAGTCCTTCTGCCACTTGTACAGGTGCCTCATCTTGCCATTCAAATATGAGATCATTCATTGTGTACCCAACTAGGCAAAACATAATAAAAATATTTAGAATGTAACAAGGCATTCAAAGGTGAGAAATTTTAACAAATCACTTGTAGATTTCCCATAGAATGAGAAGACCAAATAGTGTCATCTTAACTCTATTGACTGAGCTATGCATTGCACAATTTCAGGCTACTGAAGTCTACTCATATGAAATGTTTATCAAATAACATAAGGAAATGTAGTAAGCTAATTGGGACCTTCCCTGGTGGCTCAGAGGTTAAAGCGTCTGCCTGATGCGGGAGACCCCGGTTTGATCCCTAGGTTGGGAAGATCCCCTGGAGAAGGAAATAGTAACCCACTCCAGTATTCTTGCCTGGAGAATCCCATGGACGGAGGAGACTGGGGTCGCAAAGAGCCTACAGTCCATGGGGTCGCAAAGAGTCAGACACGACTGAGCGAATAAAGCAAAAAAGCAATAATAAGTAGCATATACATCCTTTCCTTAGGATAGGCAGATACTGCATTGACTCAATGATTCATTTTGGTTCCAATCCATTAGGTCTCCCTCACCTTTTCTCAAAGTATTCAGGACCCTTTCAAACAAAGCTGAAATTGTCACTGGTTACGAAATGACCTGAACTATAACATCCAGGGAGGGAATCCAGTGCTGATCCCTTTCTTGGTTCAATCATTAACTGCTTTCGCTTATCGCATCTGCTTCTATGTCCCGAGTCCCAAAGTGGACAAAAGGGTATTTTAGATAGAAATGTTTGATATCCAGTGTAAAAAAAAAGTCCACAAGTTTGTGGAGGGACAAACTCCACAAACTCTTGTACATGCAATGAGTCAATTAAGAACAGAATTAAATAATCTATTTTGCAGTAAGCCAGCATGGTTTAGTAAATTAAAATGTCCTCTGTCTATAGCAAGAAAAGAAAATGAAAGTGAAGTCGCTCAGTTGTGTCCAACTTGTTGGGATCCCATAGCCTGTAGCCCAGAAAGCTCCTCTGTCCAGGGAATTTTCCAGGCAAGAGTACTGGAATGGGTTGCCATTTCCTTCTCCAAGGGATCTTCCTAAACCAGGGATCCAAGGGATCAAACCCAGGTCTCCTGCAGTACAGGCAGATTCTTTGGCAACTGAGCCACCAGGGAAGCCCTCTGTCTATAGTAGTGGTATCGAAGAAAAGCAGAATTTTATCTTTTTATTCCCTGTGAGTGAGCTGTGGAAATGTACACTTGAAGACTGTTGCAGAGAAGGAGTCAATGTGAAATGTAACCTGTGGGGGAAGACGATTGCCAACATTCACAACAGCCCTGGAGGTAAGACAAAAGAGGAAGCACAGTTTGGCCTCTGAACTAAGTAAGTCAGTTCAGTTGCTCAGTCATGTCCAACTCTGCAACCCCATGAACTGGAGCACGCCAGGCTTCCTTGTCCATCACCAACTCCCGGAGCTTGCTCAAACTCACGTCCATTGGTCAGTGATGCCATCCAACCATCTCATCTTCTGTCATCCCTCATCCTCCTGCCTTCAGTCTTTTTCAGCATCAGGGTCTTTTCCAGTGAGTAAGTTCTTCCCATTATCTGGCCAAAGTATTGGAGCTTCAGCATCAGTCCTTCCAAAGAATATTCATGGCTGATTTCCTTTAGGATTGACTGGTTTGATCTTGCAGTGCAAGGGACTCTCATGAGTCTTCTCCAACACCACAGTTCAAAAGCATCAATTTATCAGCACTCAACTTTCTTCACAGTCCAACTTTCACATCCATACATGACCAGTGGAAAAACCATAGCCTTGACTAGATTGACCTTTGTTGGCAAAGTAATGTCTCTGCTTTTTAATATGCTGTCTAGGTTGGTCATATCTTTTCTTCCAAGGAGTGAGTGTCTTTTAGTTTCATGGCTGCAACCACCATCTGCAGTGATTTTGGAGCCCAAAAAATTCTCCAAGCCAGGCTTCAAAAGTACGTGAAACGTGAACTTTCAGATGTTCAAGTTGATTTAGAAAAGCCAGAGGAACTATGACTTGACTTTTCTTGACTATGATGGCTACTCCATTTCTTCTAAGGGATTCTTGCCATAGTAGTAGATATTATAGTCATCTGAGTTAAATTTGCCCATTCCAGTCCATTTTAGTTCTCTGATTCCTAAAATGTTGATGTCCACTCTTGCCATCTCCTGTTTGACCACTCCCAATTTACCTTGATTCATGGAGCTAACATTCCAGGTTCCTATGCAGTATTGCTCTTTACAGCATCGACTTGACTTCCATCACCAGTCATGTCAACAACTGGGTGTTGTTTCTGCTTTGGCTCTGTCTCTTCATTCTTTCTGGAGTTATTTCTCCACTCCTCCAGGAGCATATTGGGCACCTACCGACCTGGGAGTTCATCTTTCAGTGTCATATCTTTTTGCATTTTCATACTCTTCATGGGGTTTTCAAGGCAAGAATATTTCAGTGGTTTGCCATTTCTTTCTCAAAGTCAAGGGGTCAGAAAAAGGAAGCAAAAGCTCTAGGTGAATGAAAACAGCAAATACGAGAAACTCCCAAACAAATTCTCTGCTAGTTAATGTTGTAGACAGGAGGCTGTGTGTGTGATAATAGTAGAAATAGCTGGTGATGCACAGATTAGACTGAACAGAGTGATGTGTCTGGAAGAGAGCTGATCACCCCCCCTCCTCCCACAATACTTGGAATGGGACGTCCCTGAAACAGCTGAATGGCATCCAGCCATGGTGGTGGCAACTGAAGCCTGACACCTACCCCACCCACCTGACCCGTGTGCACACCTCACATCATCCACTCCACTGGACATGGGGAAGGTGGTACCAAGAGTGTCCATGGTGGGAGAGTCTGTGTAGACTGTCTGGGATCCTACTATCAAAGTTTTAGCAGCAGCAGCTGCCATGTGATAGCTTATTATGGAGCAAGCGTGATTTGGTAGAGGTTGTCAAGTCCTCCAGATTGAAGGGGACATGCATGAATTCTGGTTCCCGAACACGTATGAGAACCTGCATGACTGTCTTCCAGATGATTGGACTTAGCACAGCAAAGACTCGCTTACACTGGGATATATTTCATTGGACCCTGCAATGAATGATTAGATGGATAATAACAGAAGACTTTCAATTTTATTTGTAAGTCTTTTGATATAGCCATTGTAAATATCATTTCACCTAGAGAGAAAATAGATGCACATTTCTCAAGGATCAAGAGTTAGCAAAATATGCCTTTATTCTTATCTATTTCTAGGTAAACAGGTACCTTATTCTTTCACACATGCAATCCCTAAAGACAAAATATGTGAGACATTTCCCAACTTAGATAAATGGAGAAATGAACTGAAACTTGGTTTTGTTTTTTACATTCTAAATTTTTCTTAGAGTCTTCTGTGAAAAGAAGGTAGCTCTCTGAAATTCCCTCAAAGATAAGTTTTAGTTAGTCTCTGATGCAGTTTATAGGCAGCATACATAACTTGCTCTTATAATAATCATCCACACTAGGTAACTTAAGGCTTGGGTATATCCTAACCATGGCACTTTCCAGGTGGCACAGTGGTGAAGAATCCACCTGTCAATAAAGGAGACACAAGAGATTTGGATTCAATCCTTGGGTCAGGAAGATACCCTGGAGAAGGAAATTGCAACCTGCTCTAGTATTCTTGCCTGGGAAATTCCATGGACAGAGACGCCTGATGGGCTCTAGTCCATGGGGTTGCAGAGTCAGACAGGACTGAGCACGCATACACTCTCCACATAGCCTAATCAGAGTATGCTATTTCCTTAAACGACTTAAGTTTGAAGTCAGAAGAAAAATAGTGAGATGGCAAGTTTAGGGGGGTAATACTTTTATTAAGTAATTTACTGGGTGTTCAAGGAAAATAACTGAATGGTAATTTTACCTCAATAAGCCTTCAAACATAACTTTAAAAATATCAGCACTTTTCCACACAGTGCACAGTGTCTTAGCATCCTTATGTTTTTGGCTGGCAGAACTTTATACAATTCTGGGAATTGCCAAGGTGAATAGACTAGCTAATGAGTTCAAGGCTGTGAGTTGAATTGCCTTGTATCAAATGAGTTTCACAAGAAGGAATATTTTATTGAGGGAACAAAGACATTAACCCTACATTCAGCCAACAATCTCATAGGGGATTTGCAAGGAAGCATGTAAACAAATGACTCAGTGAAACCAAACACTTGTTTCTTCAAGTATTTATTGGGCACTGACAATATGTAAAAGCATCCTACTGGGGATGTCGAGCATTATTACCAGGTACAAAGTAAGTGTCATGGGTGAGGTACAATGTGCTATGTGCATTCAGAAGAGGGATCTATAATATCCACTTAAACCTCATTTGAGTTGGACCTTGCAGAAAGGCAAGACCTATATATAAAGAATATGAGAGAAAGTGAGACACTCATGCAAAGGAAATAGTATGATTGGTTGAAAGAAATCACAAACTTTCAAGGTTTATAATAGGAATAGACATAGAGCCAGTTTGCATGAAGAAGCATATGGAATGAAAAGATGAAGTAATGTAAGATTATAAAAAATTTAATCTCAAGGTTGAAAAGTTTGATTTTTTAAAAAATTCTCTGTGGGTAATGGTAACCAACTGGAATCTTTTTGAGCAGGGCAGTGATGTGACAAAAACTGTGCTTTAGAAACATTACTCTAGTAGAATCTTTTCATGGGATGTACAAGATCCAAACTGCCTTCATACTCATAAGACATTATCTGACTTTTTCATTGTGTTGACATTTGCCCAGATGATTAAAAAAAAAAAAAGCAAAACTTCTAGTGTTTGGGCTTCCCTGGTGGCTCAGAGGTTAAAGCATCTGCCTCCAATGTGGGAGACGTGGGTTCGATCCCTGGGTCGGGAAGATCCCCTGGAGAAGGAAATGGTAACCCACTCCAGTATCCTTGCCTGGAGAATCCCATGGATGGAGGAGCCTGGTAGGCTACAATCCATGGGATCACAAAGAGTCAGACACGACTGACTTCACTTTCACTTTTCTAGTGTTTAGCATAGTT